CTATTTAAAATCCAAATATAATATGAACTGCCAATGTTTCTGGCAAAGAAACACACTAATGTTATGGATTCAAAAACAACCAAAATCACGATACTAACAAAGTGAATGATTTCCTGGTGAAACTGCTTCTACCTGTCAGTGCTTAGATATTATCACGCTGAAAAAATGAATACAGAATTCCAACAAACTGTCATCAAATGTCTTTCTATTATACATTTAGATGAAATGTATATCCCCATAATGACCTAAATAATAAAGTATATGGCTTTTACTTCTTTACCAGGCTAGTTACATGATGTTGTCTAAATTAAATTCTGTCTCAATACACTACTATGTTTTAGCTTTAACTGTAATATGTTCTTTCTACATTTCAAACCTCAGTTACTCTAATGTCTGTTAAAATATTACAAAATTGTTTCATTATCACAGGTCAACTTCTTCGGTTTCACAGTAGCCCCTTGGCCACTGCTTCTGTGTTACCTGTTATAATTCAAATCAATATTTAGAAACATCTCAACATTCATCAAACAGTATCTTATCCCCAGATATGGAGCAGGTTAATTACATTCAATGCTCAGTTTGAACATCTTGGTTGGGGCGGAAGGTTTCTGTCAATCCTTAAAAGAAAAATTTAAATTGTGAATTTTACAGCCATGTTGACATTTATACATTATACTCACTCCCCCCTTTTACACATGAAATCATGTGTAACAAAAGCCTGTAATGGGAGGGGAACAAAAACTGTCAGGTAATTGGTTAGGGACATAACGAACATTATTATCATTATTTCCACAGTGAACACTTCAGTGAAAAGAAGTGTTCCTCTCCGTCCTTCAGGCCTAAAAGAAACAGAATCTTCAGATTGTAGTTTTACATTTGCAAACCGCCAACTCATGTGAGAGGAAAATATCACATGTGCGGTTTCCCCTTTTTGTGGAATTTTTAGGAAACCTCTCGTTTCCCTTGGAGCTCCAAAATAATATGTTAGTCCAAAAACATGCTTGGTTAGTTATTGTTTTAGAATCATGCAGTTACACTGATCACATGCCGGCATTCATTCACACTCACACTGTCTGGTTGTCATGTCAAGTTTGGTCAGGTTCACCCCAGAGTCAGTCATCCACAGTGCCTTGTCAAGTTACACTGTCGGTCAGGGTCAAAGGTCAGTTGGTCTCCGTCTTTTTTGGCCATGTGTCGTGCTCTGCAGAGACTTTGACATTTCAGCATAGGCCAGTATCCTTTGTCTACAAAAATATGTCACGATTTCAACTATAATTTTCAAGATGATTCTCACTTGTCATTGGGACTTCTGCCTCCCACTTTTCCTGAAACTTGGTACAAAACTCACTTCCTTCGAGTACCACTACTAATTAAAATGTCTAATGATCTATTTCAGAAACTTTTGTACAATAACTATTATCTTGAGTCAAAACATTACTAGGATCTGTGTCGCTCTGCATTTCATAGCTCATTATAATTCTGGTCTACTTAAAAAACGATGTTAAACTCTTTAGCAGTGTGTGGAACCTTGGGTGTCCGAACATGCAACAATTACTCCCTCCTTTATCAAGGATTTAAAACCGAAGTCTGGTAATAACTATGCCACAATGGTGAAATCAACACTTTAGATTGGAATTTAATATGTGGCTTGGCACTAGCCATTAATACAAACAAAGATTTGTCCTATAGAGTGGTTCCTAAAACTATCCTTTTAATGGTGATCAATATTGTAACCAATGAGATCACTACTTTATTCACACGTGAATAAAAATGTCTTAAAGAATGAATTGTTAACATGATGAAAATATTGAAGAATATACTACTCTGTCAGTGTGTTTTAGGATGATTATCATTTTACTTTAATAGTTTCCTCTTTACTGCTATTTTTAATTTACCAATTGATTAATAAATCTGTCTGTCTTTACGTATTTATGAAGTTAATTCAAGTTATTTAAATGTGCGTTTCGTGAATAAGTGTGTTTATGTGTAACTCACTCATTCCCGTTCTCCTTTCCTCCTCCCCTGGTTTTCTCAAGCCGTGACCCCGGCCTCCTCACTTCTAATCGACCATGCCAACTCCTCTGATTCTGTCTTCTCTTCAGTCCATCAACTGTTGAATCCATCCGCTGTTACTTTTGTAGGCAGCCATTGGCCCAGTCACATCTGCAGCCCCATCATGCCACTGTTGTTGCACTCCTCCTTTACAGTCTCTCTGCTGTTTTTATGGAGGGCGGATTCTGCTCTCATGTCTATTGTGCCAAATCTCGCGGCGCAGTTTGGAACTTCATGTCCTGTTTGAGGGACCGATGAGAGTTTGCCTCTTTGTCAGCATACTGGTTTGGTTCTGGATGCCTCAGGTCGTTGTTGGTTCAGCTCTGGTTCTCTGTCTGTACGATGGAGAAGGAGGAGTCTCCTGTTGGGTTAGGTCTCGTTGTCTGCTTGGAGGGTCGGGATCAAAGCCTTTCTAACTCAGAGGGGGAGTCCAGGTCCCGGTACACATTACCTATAAGAAGTCTAGCCCACTGATGTTAAATAAATCCAACCCTTTCCACTCTGTCTCTTTCTAATCATACTATCTGTCTTAGTTGTTAAATGCCATGTAAACAACATAATTAATGTCTACTTATGATATTACAAAAAACTCACTCCAAAAATTGTTTCATCCATTGTTACATATTTACCCAACACAACTCTGAAATACTTACATGTTTCCAGCATCACATATTCCACACACTATGAAAGAACATCTCCATATCTTCTCTCATTTTACATCCCACTGTTACTTCGAACAATAGTAAACCTGCAGGGCACACCAATCGGATCACAGTAATGAAATTTGAATCAAGTGTAGGCCTATGTCTTCTTTCCGAACATTTATTTATATTGTCTAAATTTGCAAACAGTTCGAGTGTAAAATGTGTTTTGCACAATGTATTTACACTACAGATTCTTGAGTTTACTCATCTCCTGGTGCTGTCGTTGTAAAAAATGTTCAATCCCTTATTGTTTTGTACCAGTTTTCCAAAATCCGTTATAATTAATATACTGGGAACGTGCTTCCCGTCTTCAATACCGGCCAGCAATGTAATGATTCAACTCTAAGCTCGCATAAGTTTCAAGGGTGTGATACCCCCTTTCAGCCACTAGATGGCAGCAGCAGAAGTTTCAAGGGTGTGATACCCCCTTTCAGCCACTAGATGGCAGCAGCAGAAGTTTCCAGACAAAGGGAAACGCTCTACCTTGGTTTAATATATAACAGACCTCTGGCTTTAAGCTTTTAGCATTGGTCTGTTATTTAAACCCCAGTTTTAAACGGCGACTCGATCTGATTTATCGAGTTTCCAGGTTTTGTCGTGCAGGAATCAAACCTCGCATAACAAACTGCACCATCTCTACGCCACTCAGGAATAATCTACCTGCAGATCCACGCCAAACTGCTCTATTTTACGTCACGCAGGACTTTCGTCTACCTGTCGATCAACGTTTACGTTTTGTATATAACTTTCCTAACATAGTAAAATATGCATTGTATATTCCATTTAAACTATAAAAACACTGTGAAACGCCTACAGACAATCCTAAAGTTTTAGCGTATCCAATTACAGACAGGCGACTTTCATCGTCTGCTTACCTTATTTGCAAAGTTGCAGAGTCCTGCTGATTGTCTGAGATGTTTGAAAGCGTCTGAATTCTTCCTCAGCTTCGTTATCTCTAGACGTCGGGTCACCATTTTGTTAGGGATTTGGAGGGATAACTGGTCCGCTTTTCAAATCTCCGCGCGTTCCTATGAAGCTGGTTATAATACAGGAAGGAATCCATAGCTACAAAGTAACCGTTAACAATAATCTACTTTAATGGCAATATGACAATGCAATACAATCATTACAATACAACATGATATATTACAGTTATATTGTAATGCTTAAGGAGTAATACCGGCTTACTCCTGCACTCGTTCGCATACTGCAGAGCTACTTTCACCCGAGGGCAGCATGTGAAGAAGAGGCCGAACGCCAGGGATCCTCCGGATATATACCAGAGTAAGAAGGAGGGGTTTGGTGTTAGGTCAGCTGGTCATCTTTTCAGGTCATCTCATTGGGAGACGCAACGCTGGCCAGCAGGAAACCAAACAGGCTCACCTTACAACCAAAGGTCTCAAGGCCTGCATACCTACACCTCCCCCACAGAGCAATAAAACCCTGTTTACTCCAACCAGCCCAGAATGTTTATAGCCATTTGTAGTCCTTACATTTATGAAAGGATAAAACAGAGAAATCAATATAAAACACAAACACAGGTATTATTTGAACAGTATTCACTTAACTGCTACTATTGATAAGCACCAGAGAAACCCAAGGGACCTCTCTTAATATCACAACCACTGTAGCTTGTTCTAAGTTGAATGCAAATCAGGACATGCTCTCACCTTCCCCCATCTTCCTTTGTCCTCAAAAACACATGTCAACAGGCCCCAAATGCAGCTCACAGTTTTACCCAAATTATTCTCATTTTAAGCTTATCCATAGTTTGCTAACATGAATAAATACAAATATAACTCTACAACCCCCATAATTTTCATAGCCGTCTGTACCAGGCGAGCGATCTGTGACTTTGACTGCACTGTCAAGTTACCGTACCAGGCAGTGATACCATACCTAATGATGCTCTCCAACACTGCATGATAAAACAGCAGTGGCGAGCCGTGACTTTTCTACCTAGGCCCTCTGACCCCACCCCCCTCTTCCCTCGAAAAAAAAAAGAAAAAGTTTTTACGTCACAGCCTATAGTATACTTCAGCGGAATATCAAAACAGCGTCCCGGGGTGCAAAACGCATCAATGACAGCGACCCTCTACCACACAAAACAACACCATTTATATAAACACCTATCATGACAGGGCACCCACAGCGAAGTAACAATTACAAATGAATTAAGTCGGCACGGCGGCCCACATTGAAAATCACTTTGACTTACCTTTGATGATCAAATCACCTAAACACAAAGTCCATCCTCCTGTCTTTTTGGATGAAGAACTTGATGGCGTCGTCATGCAGGTGATCCTTTGCTTTTAAAGCAATCAGCAATTCCTTCTTGATCGAAATTAAGGCCAAGTCTGACAGTCGGACTTGCCCAGTCGTGGACCTCGAGTAGCTTTTTATGCGCTACAGCGCAGAGAAGGACCTCTCCACAGAGGCAGTGGACACAGGTATTGTCAGGATGATGGATGAGAGGGTGTACACCTGTTTCATGCTTTCACTCAGTCCTTTTTTGAGGAGAAACTGATGAATGTCGGCTGGGCTTTTCCCCAAAATGTCAGACATGCCGTACATCACGGCGAGTTCCGTGTGCAGTCGAGGCTGGTCGAAATATCCGCCATAGCTCTCCATCAAACTGTTCAAGGCAGCAGTTGGGAAATAGTTACAGTAATGCCCAAACTGTTGCGGGTCCAGAAGGGCCAGGAATTCCAGCTTTTTGTGGTCACTGAAGCGGTTGGAAATCTGGGTTAGCAGGCTGTCAATTACGCTGCAGTGGAGCTCCCTGTACCGTGCACGAACGTCTCCTTGAGCTCCACGGCCGCGCGGAGGACCAACCAAAGCCTGGGTTTCATCGTAGACGCTGTCAAAGTTCCCCTTCTCCTGTTCAATTTGTCGCTGTAGCTGATCCACTCTGGCCAGGCAGAACTGCATATCAAAACCTTTGTTCTGAAGTATTTCAAAAACAACATCCGAGTAGGAGAAGATAGCGTGGAAGGTTTTCAACCAAAAGCTGAAATCGAAGCTGGTAAGGAGGGTGATGTATCCATCAGAGCAATGAACAGTTTCGTCATCAAACTCTGTGTGATGGTCTACGATGTGCTCGAACACCTACGAGAGTAATGCTCAGTTTAGAAAAAACAACTTATAGACCTCCAGTAAACACTAAGATTAGCTTTTCATTTAATGTAATACTAGCATAGTTCTTTACCTTCATGTTTTTATGAGTGGGTAGTTTCCAACACTAAATCATTTCTTTATTATTGTTAATATTTCCATTACGTTCATTGTTATTATTATCTTACCTCTCTCAATTCCCTGGTCTTATCTGCCACTGTGCACACCAAGCAAGAATGAAAGCACCAGCGAGTAGGAGCTGCCCGTGGAAGCCTATGCTGGCAAATATCATCCAGTAGCTTGGTGCGCTTTGCTGAGCGGCTGAAAAAGGTGGCCAAGCCAGAGAGGTGGGAGAAGAAGACCTTACACTCTCTTATCTTGGAAGCTCCATTTGACAAAACGAGATTTAAGATGTGAGCATAGCAGTGAATGAAAAGGGCCTGTGGAATTGTTTCCTTAACTTTCGCTTGCACCCCATTCAATCCAGAGGCCATAACAGCTGCTCCATCGTAGCACTGCGCGACCACTTTGTCAATACAGCCACTCTCCCTCAGGAACTCCAGCAGCCGTGTAGCTATGGCCTCTGCTCGTTTGTCCTCTGTCACATCTTCGTACTTGAAGAAACGCTCTTTTATCCCATCGTCAGTGACATATCGAAGCACATATGACATCTGCGCCACGTTGCTAATGTCTGTCGTTTCATCCAACATGACCGCAACAAAAGGTGCCTTCCTCAGCTCCTCTTTCATGCTATCCGTCATTACACTAGCGACAGCGCTGATCAGGTCATTCTGAATCCTTGAAGATGTGCCGGTAAATACTGTTGATGTGGCGAGGTGTGTGTGCAGGTCGCTGTCATATTCTGCCACTAAATCCAGCAACTCTATGTAATTCCCCTTGTTTGATGAAGTTACACTCTCATCGTGACCTCGGAACGGCAACTCCTGCTTGCCCAAGTACACCACACAATTTATCAGGCGTTTCAAAATTCCTCGGTTCCTCTTCACCTTTTCATTATGAAGGATGACACCCCGGCGTTGTTGCTCATCCAGCTGGAGCTCTATCCTGGTGTCCCCAAATGTTTTAAGCCGAATAGTAGCTCTGAGGTGACCTGAAGCATTCTGATGGCGATGTGCTAATTTGGATAAACTTCCTAAATCAGAATATCCATCTCTGGCCCATGACCCACTGTCCGCTCCAAAAAGCAAGCAATCCCAGCAGTACAGCTTGTGTTCCCTGGTTGATCCGGTCATCCAGTTGTATCTGGCGTAATTGCCGATATTAAAATGCCTCTCGAACCGTTTGGTTTTTTGAACCAAATTAAGCTGTGGTGTTGGTCGCCCTTTGGTAATTAACTCCAATTTATCCGTGTAACTCATTCTTGAAAAAGACTCGGTTAGTAGTTTCGCAACGATGTCATCACTATCACTAACGTGAGCCATCGTGAATGAACGTATGCTAATTCCGCCTAGCTTGACCCGTTGATATATCACATGCATAAACTTGGCAGCGCAGCGGGCGGAACTTGTCATAAAGTCCGCGATAATAAAGCCCTCCCATTTAGAGGGAAGATATGATTGGTCAATTGTACTGTCACTTGACATTACTCTCTCGTTGTTTTACTATAGCGGGCCCTCTGTGAATCGCATAGAGGGCCAGACGAGCTTTTTTCATGTAACCCTTCACATTCAAACAGAAACTGAACAGGCAGATTCGAAGGATTTATTTCTTTGGAAATTTTATTTTAAATCCAATTAAATCAAGTTTTTTCGGTAAAAATATAACAAAAATAATATTTAAAAAATGTATATTAAAAAAAAATAATATATTTTTTAAATGTTTTTAAATATTATTTTTTAGAATATCTTAGGCCCTCAGAGAGGGCCTAGAGGGCCCTGACGGCTCGCCACTGTAAAACAGTAACATGAACTTCTGGTCGACTCCGAAAGCCCGGAGTCGACGCAGAAAGTACAATCGCTGTTGAAGTCTAGAGCACAGACCTTGAACATGCGCCTTCCAGCTGAGTGTATTATCTAGATGGACACCAAGGTACTTATAGGAGCTGACCTGAGATATGGGTTCATTGTGGATAACCACCGGGCTAAGGTCACCCACTGCCTTTGGGTCCCACACCATCTCCTCAGTCTTCTTCACATTCAGCACTAGATGGCTAGAATCACACCACTGCACAAATCTCTCTATTTCAGAGTGATAAGCCGATGAACTGCTGCCCTTGTGCATTAAGCCAAGGATAGCTGTATCATCAGAGAATTTGATGATATAATTCTCCGGGTGGGCTCTTGTACAGTCGTTTGTGTACAGTGTGAAGAGGACCGGGGAGCTCACACAACCCTGGGGGGCTCCTGTACTGATGGTCCGGGGCTCTGAGAGGGCATTGTTGACCCTGACTTGCTGAGTGCGATTGGTTAAAAACGAAAAATACCATTTCAAGATGAAAGGATTTATATTGATCTTTATCAGTTTTTGAAGCAAGATGTGAGGCTGCAGTGTGTTAAAAGCCGAGCTGAAATCCACAAACAGTAGGCGTACATATGCCTTAGGGTCTTCCAGGTGTTTAGTGACCAGGTGTGTGATGCTATTTAGAGCATCGTCTGTGCCACGCCCTTGCTTGTAGGCAAACTGAAAAGGGTCTAAATGTACATCAACCTCCATTTTTAGCAGCGGCACCATGATCCTCTCAAAACATTTCATGACAATGGATGTCAATGCAACAGGCCTAAAATCATTGTTTACCTTTGGACAAGGTTTTTTGGGGACAGGTTTTATTATTGATTTTTTCCAGAGGGTGGGGATGGTGTGAAGATCAACAGATTTTTGAAATATGGGACACCATGCTGGTGTCAGTTATTCTGCAAATGTCTTGAGGAGGAATGCAGAGATGCCATCTGGCCCTGTGGCCTTCTTAGTACAGGTGTGTTTGAAAAGTGATTGGACCTTTAAAGGGTCAATCACCACCCTTTCATCCTGGTCACTAGCAGGGATTGTCTCTACGATGTCTGTACATTCAGAGGAGAAGTCCTGGGTTTCAAATCTCATGTAAAAGTCATTCAGTTCATTTGCTTTTTGCAGGTCATCAGAGGTACAGAGAGTTTTTTTTAGCTGGGGTCATATTTGTGATGACGGCTCATATGGGTCAGAAATATGACTCTCGTTACCACGGAGTGGGTTGTTTGTTTTTGAAGAAGCCCCTACTATTTTAAAAAATAGGCCTAATGTCAGGGGCCTCTTACTGTCTACTTCTGCATGTATTCACATTATATGGACCATGTTTCCACCTGGTGAAACTAGAGGCTGCACGGAACTCAGGCTACAATACAACCATGTTGTTCTGCTCTAACGATTCAATTTATAGATTCTATATCAAAACAGTTCGTTTTTATTGTTTCCAATGATAACGTCACCTTAAAGAGCCTGTGACAGCATCCCAACAACTGTTGTGCAATGAAATATTGGGCTACTAGTAATCTCGAACCGTCAGTTTAAAAAAGAAAAAGCGATACCGTTCCGTTAAATATCAATAATTTCGAACATCGCGGGGAAATTCCTTCGACTCATTTTGAAGTTTTGGGGGAGCCGGAAGTGACGTCAATGCGGGAATGCTTCACTGTGCGGCGAGAGAGCTAAATACGGACAAAGTGTGTTGTCATGCGTAGAAATGGTGAATTACAGAGTTTAGGCACGTTAATAACGTTTTAATGAAGTTGACTACAGTATATTCATATTTGTCAGTGCTTTCATGTCAATTCGGCGAACATCAACATAAATGATCGTGGTGAAGATGATGATTACATTAGGATTAAAAAATCGGTAGTGAGAGCTACTGAATTTCCTCCCGTAGGATGTGATATAAAAACAAATCGATTATTTTTGTAGTTGTAAACTCAAGTGGATGAAACTACATGTATTAGTGCTTTCATGTCAATTCGGCGAACATATGATACATTAAATGATCGTGAGATCTAATGATGATTAAAAATCGTTTGTTTGTGCCGGTCTGCATTTCCTGATGAGAAAACAAACCGATGCTTTTTGTAGTTGTAGTACACCAACATGGATTAAACGTGTGTTTTTTTCACCACAATGTTGGGGAAATTAATGGATAAAATGCACGGATTATTATTATTATTATTCCCACTCCGATCGGGACACTAGGTCCACCGTTTCCCCGCAGCGAAGCTCCCCCCGTTTACAGTTTACGTGGGCTGGGTGCAGTGGCGGACTGGCCATCGGGACGAATCCAGATGGGCCGGTACCGAAGTGGGCCGGTCGGATAAGTCACTAGCACATCCCCCATAGGCGGCGCGTGAGGCTCAGGTTTGGGAAGGCTAAATAACTTTTTTTACCTGACGCTGCCCGCCTCCGGAGTCTATAGAAAAGAGATCAACTCAGTGTGCGGAGTTTAAATCTCTCAAGTCATATTACAGGATAAAGGAAATACAGTTTAAACTGCCGTAGGCCTATGCAGAGAAGACGCCGACGTGTCGCACTTGTAGAGGAAACTTCTGTGTAGCTATGTAGTGGGAGTCACCGACTCAGGAAGGAGACACGGGAAGAGCAGTAGCTTTGATGTCAAACACATGATGGTTTATTTGGAGTTAACGGCCGGAGGATTCACATCACAAGTCCAAGAGTCAGAGGTTCTGACTTCACGGTAGAGTTGCCACGTCAATTCTGGAGAGCCTCTCTCTTGCCAGCCCATCTAACTGGTTTCGCAGAGAGTAAACAACATATTTGAGAAGATAGCCTAAACAGTGTGGGAACACTGAGCTACTTGCCTCGGACACCTATGACCTCGAAGATTTCACCTTGGAGTCCACAAATACAGAGAAGGAAGTGTCCCAGTGTACCCACAACACAGACCATCTGTGACCCAGTATTGACCGGTCACAGAATGGGAACAATAACATTATTGGCTAAGCAGCCTGTGTCCTTAAAGAAGGTAAACAGACATCAAGGTTTGTCCTGTATGTCACATCTTGGCGTCTGACAATTATTTCCATAACAGTCCTCTCTTTTTATCATTTATGATAACCTAAAAACATTAGTCTAATAATAATTTGGTCAATAATTAACTCAATAGGCGTCTCCAGATTCGAGTGTGGTCTCACCTTACATTAATTACATCACAAAGTAGAATAAGATTGAAACATTCAATCACAATGATTGATACAGCCAATCATAATAGGAAAAATCATCTCTCATCAGTGTTTGATCATCTTTTGTCAAAAGCATAATAATGAACACACATAAAACACAGGTGCACAATGGCTAAATATTTGTTTTTAAACTAATATCTTTTATCATTTACCATTAGTTAATTTCATTCATCAAACTATAAAATCAAAACCAGCTTGCCGCTTTAAAGATTTACTTCAAGGCAATCACTAGTCAAAAGCATTTTAAAACTCAGGATCGTAAGAGATCCAGCTAAACATTCACAGTTAGAGTATAGAATTCACAATGGTGATTTGATCAATCTGTAATCTGCAAAAGTGCAGTGTCCTCAATTTTAGGATTACTTTTACGTTTACTTAAATACGCTTTAGTCAAGAGTAAGGCACTTAGTGAAATCAATACATTCATTTTAGTCAAGTACATTGTTCAAAATCTGAAAAGGAAAAGTTAGGCAAATATTCAAAGACGTTTGTAAAAACCTGGAAAGGAAGGATTAAACATTTTTAAACCTTGAATTATTACATTTGTAAATGCTACCACTGATCTGTACCAAATTAAGTCTATCAAGTATTCCTATTAGCCATACTTACCTGAGCTACTTATGGTACTTGGAAAGGATTCTTCTGTGTTTATCTAATGTTGAGAATATCAATTTCTTTAAATTATACTTCTCTAATTTGAGGATCAAATATGCTACATAATTGTTATATGAAATATTATAAATATTTGTTTTGGGCCAAAACTGAAATTAATCCAGTACTTGAAACATCATTGTAGGTCTTTCTATGCATGGATAATACATTAAAGAGTAGTGTTGTTAAGCCTGATTGCTGGATTCAAATCCACTAGAGTGCATGTACCTATCCAGAGGGGAGCCAGAACTTGATAGAGCTTGTCGCTGCACAACCAAACGTAATCTTGTGGCGAGCTAAACCCCACATCACTGGGCCAGGCCAGTTGTATTGCTCACGGTTGCGTTGTCGTTTTCCCAGGCGAGCCGTCATCACGAGGTGGGAATGCTCCATGGGGTGTGTGTGTGTATTCCTTCGGTCGATTTTGTGACACGGACAGTCAGACTCCGCACACCGGTAACACAAACGAGGAACCAGAGGCATATGGAACCGCTCAGCTGGCACTCGCTTGGGACACCTTGTGTGTAGTGTGTTTTGGTGTATGTAGTGCAAGTGTGGTGCAAGTTGGTGATTAGGACACATCACTTGTTGTCATCTACTTTTGTTGGTGATTAGGACACATCACTTGTTGTCATCTACTTTTGTTGGTGACTAGGACACATCACTTGTTGTCTTCTGCTTCTACCGTTTCTCCTTTCCTGTGACTACGACCTTGCAGTGTCTGGCGTGGACCCACGTAGCTCTCTCTCTGACCCTTGGCCTTCAGAGCTGTCCTACTGTAGTTATTGGGTTAACACTTGATAGGGATGTTTTCCTGAGTGCAGACAACTCAAGGTAATGGATTAGCACATTATCATTTAAATACAAAAATAGGATAGGCCCCTCAGAATTATTTGGGAGC